ATTTATATTTACATATTCACTTTACCCTACTCTTATTTTTTGTTTTTGTCTTTTGCTTTTTTCTTTGTTTTTGCATACTGGGGTTATTAATGACTAAAAAGAAAGGATCATTTGTATCATATTGTAATATAAAAGATAAATCTTATTGCAATAACTGAAAATTCATCAAATTACCAATATTTATAGCAGAAGGCATACTTCCATTTAACAGAATGGACTAGAACTCAGAAAAGTAATCTTAATTTACTCAGCCTTTTAGAGGACTAATCTCTGATAAATGTACAATGTTAAATCGACTTGAACATGCCTGGTACAGAAGTGCAATTTTTTTTCCCTATTAACTGTAATATCATTCATTACTTTATACTGAAACAAAGACGGGAACACTGAGATCAAATTCCCAATGATGATAACAATCAGGTAAACTTAGTACATTTGAGATGATGATCAAAATGAAAACCTTCACACAGAGAAGTGATGGATGATCACTAATTGTGTTTAACAAGTGTTAAAAAAAAAAACAAACTCTTTCCTTTTAAGTGACTTGACCTGATAATTCCTGACAAAAGCCCTGTTACAAGGTGTCCAATTCCAAATGATTAAAAAATAAATGAAAGTATAGAGTAAAGAGATGGCCTGTATGATCTAAGAGGTTCTCAGATCTTACTTGCAGAGTTTTGATAAAATATATAGGTTGTGACTCCGTAAAAAATGTCATATAATTGAAACAGCTAATCTACAACAATTGCAGAGCATTAAATATCTCAGTGCCTTCTGATACAAAGCATGAGTTTTCATTCAGAAGTATGAACATTAAGGCGCACACAGAAGCTTCAACAATGAGTGTAATCACTAACATGTCTGATGACTTATTATCAGCAAGGACTTAATGTTTAACAATTTAAGGCAGTATAGTTCCTTTTATATCAATTTTATAATTTAAATTTCCATAAATATTAAGCACCCATTTGTGATGAAACATTATGCTTGCGACTAGGCATAAGCATTAGAAAGATGCTGCTTCTGCCTTTAACATTTACAGTCTGATGAGACAGACAGAAAAGTAGAACACAATTATAACTCAGAGTGACAGTGTTCTGGTTGACAAATGCAAGGGAGACATGGGAGAGGAAAGGGTTTCTCAACCCAGTCTGGGAAACCTCAGGGAAATCTTCCCAGGGGAAGGGAGAAGTGGTAATCCTGAAGGCTAAGTCAGGGGCCAGCCATGGGAATATGTGGGAGAAGAGAAGGGCCTCCAGGTAGGGTAAATAATACAGACAAAAAAAGAAAGGAGGCAAGAAATTGAGCAAAAAGCATTTTGGGGACTAAACCTTAGAGTTGCTTAAAAAGGAATGGTGAGAAGACCCCAAAGGCAATCACAGCAACAATAAAAATAAAGACATGGGACCTGATCAAATTAAAAAGCTGCTGCACAGCCAAGGAAACTATCACAAGAGCAAATAGACAACCTACAGAATGGGAGAAAATATTCGCATGCTACACATCTGATAAAAGGCTGATAACTAGAATCCTATATAGAACTCAGGAAAATCAGCAAGGAAAAAAATCAAACCATCCCATTAAAAAGA